TATATGTAATTATTTTTAACTTGAGCCCGTATTTGTAATTATTTTCACTTTCCGGGCCCTAATTTGTAAATTCCCCTTGATTTTATCCGTATTTATAGATTCTAAATTTGAAATATGTTCATTAATAGTATTAATTTGTGTTTTCCAAAATTGGTCTAAAATAGTAATATTGCTTTTAATTTCTGGAAATCTGTCTTTAATATGCCGTATAAATTTCAATTCTTTATCTGATGTTGTAACTTGATTATAGTCATATTGTTGAAATATCCAATTCATCATTCCTTTCATTGTGAAAATAACTATAGCTATAACTAGGAGACCAATTAGTAATAAATTATTAAAAGGGTAATAATGCATGTTTTTAGCATGATTCAAAGTTTTACCAATTTGCCATTGTTCACAAATTGATATGGCATTTTGCAAATTATTTTCACTTTCTTTTTTATCATTTAAATCTGTCGAACCTCCATCTTAACCAAACCATTTAGAGTAATATACGTTATTTTACGATATTTTACGAATAAATTAAAATTTAATTAAAAAATTTCTAAACTTACTTTTTCTATTCTCTAGTAAGTATTCACAAATTTCGTAAAACGTTTCGTTATTTTGCAAAATCTGACGATTCCTTTTTTCACAATAGGATGGTTCTTCATTAAAAATACGAATAATGAAGTGTTCTAAACTTTCATTTTTCTCTTCAGAGGAACATTTGCTATTATCCTTTGAATCTGGGTTCTCTTCTAAGAAAAATCCACAAATTTCATAACCATCTTTTGCCGAGAAATAACGAGCGCCTTTCATATCACCCAAAATATGATTACTACATTTGCCTCTATCACAATTAATGGGTTTGCAAAAATTAATATATGACAAAATATTGAATATATTTTTTTCAGGATCAGTAATCTTATTATACTGTAAAACGGTATAAATCATGGCTATGAAGAGAACTAGTAAACTACCAATTATCATATTAGTGATCAATAGTCCTTTTTCATAATTTAATTCATTATAAAAAGAAATATAATCATTCATTAATTTTTGAGATCCATCCTTTCGAATTTCAACCGTTCTCAATAATGTTTCTAAAGTTTGTTTAATTACATTAATGTTTACATTTTCCTTAGAAATTAATTGTAAACATTTTACGACATTAGTCAAGTATTCAGACATTCTTAAGGATTCTTTAGCTGTACGTTCAGTTAATCTATTGAATATATGACTCTGTTTATATACCTTATCCAATTTATTATTTGCGATTTTATCTTGTAATTCTCTACATTTTCGAAAGTTAATTAGAATCTCTTCAGTAATTTCATGAAGAGTTAAAACATCCGGAAAGGTTGGGTTTTGCCATAATTGCACATCTATAAGGGGTTGACTCAAAGTTTTGTTATGAATAAATTGGCTTAAAGTATTGAGAATTAATTTGGTTTCTGGACGATTAGCAGGATCATTATCCCAACATTGTTTATAAAGTTCAATATATTGAGGTGGTGTACCTTCTATAGGTTCTTCTCTATTTCCTTTGGAAATATGAATAGCAAGTGAAAATTCCAATTTAAATGATGAGAATGGTGGTCTTCCACTCGAAATTTCCCAAAGAATTACTCCAAGGCTGTAGACATCGGATTTCTTATCACGTTTATATTTGGGATCTATAAGGTATTTAGGCTCGATATATGTCAATACTCCATGAACGACTGAGTTTGAAGTCATAGACTTTTCATTAATTTGCTTTGACAGCCCAAAATCCGCAATCATTGGTTGTTTTTGATGAATTAAGACGTTCTTTGAATGCTATATTATATGATTAGTAAATTATTATATATAAAATCTGGTAAAATTAGATAACACTTACAAGATCTCTATGAATAATATTATTATCATGTAAGAATAAAAGTCCGAGTGCTATTTCCCTAGCAATACATATTTTATCTACCCATTGCAATCTTGTAAAATTTGCTTGTAGGTATTCTCGTAAAGTTCCGTCCGCAGCATATTGTAAAACCAAATTATAATATCCGTTGATATCTATTAACAGTTAACGATAATAATAATTATTATTGGCTGCTTCGCATCCAATAACTATAATTATTTAATACTTCAAAAAATTATAAATCGCTTGTTTACCTTTAGTGATCCCATAGAACGTAATAATGTTTGAGTGAACAGAAACTTTTCGCAATAGTTTAAGCTAATTACAGTATATAAATTATTCTGTAGTAGGATGTAATTAATTAAAATTTTCAACATAATAACAAATAATACCTCTTTAATAAAATCTTTAATGTTAATGCTTGTATCGACTTTAAGACGTTTAAGAGCAACTATTAACTGACTGCCTTTCCATTCATATTTAATAACCTCTCCAAAACCTCCAGAGCCAATCTCTGTAGGTTCTGTAAATTTATCGTATTCAAGATAATTAATATGCCCATCGGAAACAGCTTTTTCAAGCCATTCTGATGGTGTTTTTTCTACGTTTTCTTGAAAGGTCATTTTACTTGGTCAAATATTATAGCAATTATTTCAGGTTCTTTGTCACTGCAGTAGTTTTTAATATAATTTTTATATTTTAATTAGATAAATAAATTACGTTTATAAAATTAACAAAGTAGCTATTATTATATTTTCTAAACAAATTATTATTATAAAAAATAAATTAACATTGTAAATTTGGTCGACGGATGAGTAATGCAAAACAAAAATTGACTTTGCATGTCATGTCCTTATTAAGGCTGACTATCGAGTCTTCCCTTTTCTTTTTATTTCAAATTACTTATATATTTGCACATCATCTATGTTTTAGCCAAGCATGTGTTTAATCGGCAATCTGTGTAGTTATTTAGCTATGTATGCATACATGCATCTAGTCAGGTATCTTTTAAAGTAGACACGACTATAATACAATAAAAATAAATAGTTGCTATGATACGTATAGAAGGGGATGACATGGCTTGCGTACTTTTTTGATTTAATTGGAAATGGAATTTGTAATGGAATTTTCTGTCCTTTATCTAATTATACTTAAGAATCTCAGATTAGCGTTTACTAACTAAGCGTCTTTGATTCATAACGGACCAATATTACCGGCCATTTATATCTGGAAGTGAGGTAGCTAAAATCAGAGTTAGAACTGGCTGAGGTTAATATTAAACAAACATTATGATAAAATTGCTCTCCTAATAACTATTGTTAGTGCTTCAAAATAGGTTTAGGCTCCATTTTTGTATTTTATGTATTGTATTTTCATCTTTTTCGTTTCGTGAATTTTCATAATTTCAACTCAATTTTGATTGGTAGATCTACCAAATGAGTGAACAATGGTTGCATATCCGTGTAACAGTTTTATACTGTCCGTAACCGTAACGTAACTTGACCAAATACAAACATTAAAACATAGCGATAGGCGAATTTTCGGAATTGGGCCTAAATTAAATCTATATATTTTGTAAATTTGATCATAAAACAGACACAAATTTTAAGCTACTTCTAAGTGTATGCCATTGGGACCACACTTTCGTGCATTACTTGAATTCGAGCCCAAATATGTAAATGATCTCTATAAACGCAATTATTCTTATTGTTCTCTAATAGCACGTCGTTAAAGCTAGGTCACAAGTGTATGCACTTATATATGTTTTACTGTATTTGGTCAGCACTTAAGCATGTATTTAGAGAGGGTATGCACTTATAGAGGGTGCACTTAGAGCGATTTGCATCCTATAATTGTTAAATCCAGGGACCCCAATTTAGACCCATTTTCACAAATCTGCCGATATGATTAGATTAAAACGATATTCCGCGGTAAACTAAAAAAAGAACTTTTCTACAACATACTTACATCTTCTACTTAATAATTTGCTACTTGCAACAAACGAAATGGCTTTGAAAAGAATTAATGGAGTAAGTGTGTATTTCTTCTGAAAATCACAGTAACATACTTGCCTTACTTCATTTAAACATGTTTAGTCGTTTATTCCTTTTGGGTTATTTTTATAAATCTCAAAGAATGCCATTTTATTCTTAAACAAGCTTTGAGTAAAATGTTACAGCTACCCAGATCAAGGGCTTAGTAGCTTCTACTATGTTGTCGACTTCGTTTTAAACTTGATTGTAAATTTATCAAAATTCTTTTAATAGCAAAACAAGTAAAGCCCGTGTAATTTAGATGTATATTGGTCGAAGAATATTGTTTATTATTGAACTTTCCTGACTTTGATTTTTTCTTTTGAATATATTTTCTAGGAATTGCGTTCCTTAGGGCGAGACCCAATTCCGTTTTGCTGCACTGGCCCTATTGGAGAAGATCTTTTTCATTGGCATGCAACAATTATAGGCCCGTAAGTAATGTTTGATGCCCGCTAGCATTCATTGAATTATTTAAAATGTTTAGATTGATTTTTTGGTTTCATATGACTAGACTGAATCTCCATACGCTGGTAGTGTATTTTTTCTTGACATCCGCTTCCCTACATAATATCTATTCAAACCACCAAAGGTATCGTCTCTCTCTAATAATATACAATGACTGGCATTTGTCTAACATAAATAAAACATATATATATGCATTGTAAGGTTTTTTTTACGACAAAAGTTTATCATCCGAATATCAACAGTAATGGATCTATATCCCTGGATATTTTATCTCATCGATGGTCATATAATATTTTCATTTCTCATCGTAAATATGTTCATTTTATGTAAAATATATTGTACCTGTTTTCTAATTCCAATATATGTTAATAATTATCCTTTACAGTTCTCACGAGTATTCGCTTGTTTTTGATTGAACCTGACCCAGGTATGTATCAAACTTATTTTATCAAACTTATTTTGTCAAAAATGTTGTACGCATACTAAAATAATTTGAACTACTATAGACATGCCACTTGTAAACGAAATTGCTTATGTTTATAAGAACGACCGCGCCCGTTATGAAAAGACAGCACGAGAATGGACACGCAGATATGCTAGTAGATGATTAAGCATCTTGCTATTTTACCTTTTGCAGTCTGTTTCTTATGATTTGAATTCCATCTAAACCATATTAACATAATACGATATAAGGGGTGCAGAACTTTTGGTTGCTAAATTTAACGTGTTCTATAGATATCTTTTTACAATATACTTTGTCATATTCCGTGAGACTCATTTTATATTTTTCTTTTATCGATAAATGAATACGACGAACATAAAGTGCTATCTATGCTGTATTCACAGACTCGCAGGACTCAAGAAAAAAAAATTACAAAGATCGTAAATCGAAAAGAATGATAATAGTAATTATTATGAATTTATATAGCTTATTGAGTGTTCTTTACTGTATACTCACGATCTAAAATAAAATTAATGCAAATGATTAAATCAATGGTTTTCTTTGTATTCACTGACTACGGTAAATAAAAGTAAAAATATTTTTATTGATTTATAATATAAATTTGTTTAAGCTTTAGATAAATATATTCGGATTATGTATATCAATAGTTTTAATTAAAAAATTTAATTTTAAAATTAATTTATTTGTCGCCGAAGGTGACTGAGTCGGGTTCATTTAGTGTTAGACTTAGAGTCAGCAAACGTCATAGTAGAATTATACAAGGAATATTTTTTGCTTAGACGCCTTTATTAGTTTCATAGTGTAATGGATCATTTTTATTAGTAAGTTATTATAAAAGTTCCAGCGTTACCACCAATTGAGGACGCAGACACATGATATTCCGACCTTACAATTCTCCGGAAACTTTTAAAAAATTTTTTCAACCCATTTTTTTGTACATTTATCGTTTCTTTATTCTTATTATAACTAGTAATAAAACGGCGGCGTTTTATAGGGCTGGAGCCTACGTATTAGGTTCTAATTTTTTTTTAAAAAACGTAATGTTAGTATTGTAGTTTATCCAATATTAATCGTAGAAGGATTCCGAGATAACTTAGTAATAAATTCTGAATATCTTGAGATATCCAAGCTGTCTACCCCGAAGAAGTATTTAGGCAATAGGCATTTCCTTGACGAAGTTCGATAGGAATTTCTTCTAAAAAAATAATAATATATTTTTAATTTGTAACTTATTGTTATCGTATGTATTGCATATTTTACTTAACAGGCTCCATATCATTTTTGGCTGAAATTTTCTTGGTATCAACTTATCTTTATTGCGTCTAGCATA